TGTGCCACAGCCCCAACTTCTGTATGCAACCTCCTGGACCACTGTGCCACAGCCCCAACTTCTGTATGCAGCAACCTGGACCACTGTTCCACAGCCCCAACTTCTGAAGACGACTATAATATGTCATGCTGCTAGCAATGGGCATGGGTGACAGGGAAGAAAGGATAACACAGGTGCAGAAAGAAAGACTGCATGTTAAAATGTACTCTCTGCAGCATGATTCCAACATGTCACAAGCCTACCGTTTTGTAGGAGGGGGCCATCGGGAGTGGAATACTGTCCGACTCCCAGGGGCCACCTAGCATCAGATTGCCCAGGTACTGGATCATGGAAGAACAGTGCTCAAGATTGTAGGACTCTCCGACAGGATCCAGGAAACGTAGCCGTTATGCCATACCCAATATGCTGTGTTTGCATGCTCTCAGCCACAATACATAAGCTGCGCTGTACATTGCATATCCTGGACAGCCAAACTCTATACACTGCACTATACATTGCATACCTTGGACAGCCAGTGTATGTTGCGCTGAACATTGCAATTCCTGGACAGCCACACTCTATATGCTGTGCTCTATGCTGCATACCCTGGACAGCCACACTCTATATGCCGTGCTGTATGTTGCATACCCTGGACAGCCACACTCTATATGCCGTGCTGTATGTTGCATACCCTGGACAGCCACACTCTATATGCCGTGCTCTATGTTGCATAACCTGGACAGCCACACTCTATATCCATGCTCTATGTTGCATAGCCTGGATGGCCACACTCTATATGCCGTGCTGTATGTTGCATACCCTGGACAGCCACACTCTATATGCCGTGGTCTATGTTGCATACCCTGGACAGCCACACTCTATATCCGTGGTCTATGTTGCATAGCCTGGACGGCCACACTCTATATGCCGTGCTGTATGTTGCATACCCTGGAAAGCCACACTCTATATGCCGTGCTCTATGCTGCACACGCTGGACAGCCACACTCTATATACCATGCTGTATGCTGCATACCCTGGACAGCCACACTCTATATGCCGTGCTCTATGCTGCATACGCTGGACAGCCACACTCTATATGCCGTGCTCTATGCTGCATACGCTGGACAGCCACACTCTATATGCCGTGCTCTATGTTGCATACCCCGGACAGCCACACTCTATATGCCGTGCTCTATGCTGCATACGCTGGACAGCCACACTCTATATGCCGTGCGCTATGCTGCATACCCTGGACGGCCACACTCTCTAAATGCCGTGCTCTATGTTGCATACCCTGGACAGCCACACTCTATATGCTGTGCTCTATGCTGTATACCCTGGACAGCCACACTCTATATGCTGTGCTCTATGCTGTATACCCTGGACAGCCACACTCTATATGCTGTGCTCTATGCTGTATACCCTGGACAGCCACACTCTATATGCTGTGCTCTATGCTGTATACCCTGGACAGCCACACTCTATATGCTGTGCTCTATGCTGTATACCCTGGACAGCCACACTCTATATGCTGTGCTCTATGCTGTATACCCTGGACGGCCACACTCTATATGCTGTGCTCTATGCTGTATACCCTGGACAGCCACACCATATGCTGTGCTCTATGCTGCATACCGTGGACAGCCACACTCTATATGCTGTGTTCTATGCTGTATACCGTGGACAGCCACACTCTATATCAGCCTTTCTCAACCTTTTTAACATGGAGGAACCCTTGAAATAACTGTTTGGGTTCAGTGAACTCTTATTAATAAATATTTAATTTACAGCTCACAGTACATTAGTGTGATGATCAGTGTGAAGAATGTTTCTTACATTTGCTGACATTGGGAAGAATTCCCCCCTCTGTACAGATAACTAACAATATCATTGGTGCCAGTGGTTGCTCATCTGAGAGGCAGGAATTTGTTATTGATCAAGGAACATTTTGCAAACTCTGGAGGAACCCTAGTTGAGAAACCCAACCCTATACATTCTGCTGTATGTTGCATACCTTTGACAGCCCACTCTATATGTTGTGCTGTATGTTGCATACCCTGGACAGCCCACTCTATATGTTGTTCTGTATGTTGCATACCCTGGACAACCCGTGTTCTATGCTGTGCTGTACATTGAATACCCTGGACAGCCCACTCTATATGCTATGCTGTATGTTGCATACCCTGGACAACCTGCTTTCTATGCTGTGCTGTATGTTGTATACCCTGGACAGCCCACTCTATATGCTATGCTGTATGTTGCAAACCCTGGACAGCCCGCTTTCTATGCTGTGCTGTACATTGCATACCCTGGATGGCCACACTAGCTGTAACTCCCCTTGTGGTGGTATTAGACTTGATTTATTTTAGATCAACTTCATTCAAACTCAGCTGAAAGACAGGGGCAATAAAACGTAAATCACTCTGCAAGACTGAGATACATTGTTCATGTATACATTTGTATTGTGATCGGCCAGATTATGAGATTACATAGTGGAAGCAGAGACATAATTGATCATTTATGATCTTCCCTGTGTGTGGCATATATCGATGGAATAGTTTGTTGATAAAATATTGATTATTGCTATTGGAAGAGGTCTATTAGAAAAAAATGATCTGTTATCAGAACCACTATTAGGAAGATTCACACACCTTTATCACCAAAAGTGAAAAAAAGACCTTCATTTGTAGTGTGAACCAGGACAAGAAAAGGGGGGAAATTGTCCAATGGTGACATGAGTTCTGGGGATTCCTTCACTTTAGAGGGATTTCCTCTCACTTCCTGGTTTGGCTATGGGACAGGAAGTGATGGGAAATCACTCCAATGGGACACACATCTGCAAGGGAATCTGCTACGTGTGTGGGGATATGCTGCAGGTCTCTAATACCTGGCAGAGATCGGCAGCACATCTACGCATGTTTACAGATGGCGGTGTGTGAGAGGCAAATGTTGGCCTTGTGTACATGGACAGTGAGAGGATGAAAACAGGCTTGGTGTTTCCCCCACCCGAGGAGCCACACACAGCTTGCCATACAAGTGACTGTGCACGGCTGTACTCATGTAAGCACCAATGCTCCCGGGCGTTTACCCACGCATGTGCGTATGCTGCAAAATGTCAGCATGCCGAAAATACATCATATACGCAACTGCAGATAGACAACGAAGCATCACACTAAGGCTCCATGTACACTGCAGCTGATAAATTCACGTTTAGGATCTGTTCAGCATTTTTTTCAGCAGCCCCTGAACTCTCCCTAATGTTTTCCTATGTGTCCATGTACACATCTTCGTTTACAGTTTTTTACAGGCATATGAGTTTACAATCATTTTTTTGAACGCAGAAAACTTGTGTTCAGCAGTCAATTTTAACAGCATTTCAAATGCAAAACGCTTCTAAACACGGCAAATCACGTTTATAAGCATTTGATTTGAAGATGTTTTTTAACTCTTCCAGTTCCCGATGCAGTCCAGAACCTTTTTTCATCATGAAAAATGCATGCAAAGAGTTTTCAAGGTACTCAAATGGACAAAACACTGAACACAGGATGCTCCTACCAAGCTTGTCACACATTGTAATGACCAATTCACACCTCAAACCTCTCCCACACTTGGACACAAAAGATATGTTAATGACCATTCACACCTAAATTCCTCATGAAGACCCCCTGCTAGGTGACCTTAATGACTCCCTCCACCAGACACCTTCCCACCCTTAGAAACAAAAGAAATGTTAATGAACAACTCACAGCTAAGCTAATCTCAACACATACTGCTGTCTCTGCTTCTACTCTCTGTATTTCTCTGAAACAGTCTGAAAGAGTTAATAAATTACCACTTTTCAGTGCATTCTGGGCATTTGGGAGGTTCTCCTGTGCTTATCATTAAAAAATGTTTCTAAACGCAAACGCACATAAACACGTTATGCAAACACGGATAAACAGATATTTTTTAACTTACATTTTCCAGTAGTCAGTTTCCATTGTTCAGAAGTGTCCTGTGTACATGGGGCCTTACAACAGTACAGCTGAACACAGCCATTCATTTTTGTAGCATGCCTCATGCGGCACCCAGCAGCTCCCCAGGTACAGGAAATCGCATTCTGTCCATGTGCACGTGGACTCGCTGTGCGTTTTTATCAGCTAGGTTTGGGTGAGGTTCCTGTTTAGGGGGCTCATTCACATATGTGTATTTTATGCACAGAACGCAGGTGCCCATTGGTGGAACTAGCAGAAGATTCAGTGTAAAATATGCACCTGAAATACTCGTGTTGAGACGTGTTTCCATGCGACGACATCTAATATCTGCAGATATGTACTGTCCAGGATGCAGCAGCGTATTATTACTTTATACACCGCTAGGCGCAGCGCACATTTTTGCTGTCAGGCACAGCTGTGTGTATGGCCCTATTGATTCCGTTTAGATGTGTACAAAACTATATGCGTCTACAAGCGTGTTTCACATGGGCGCACTACAGCATACACCCGTGTGAAGGCTGTATTCACCCGCCTGGCGGTCTGTGCATCCTCCATGCAGGTAGTCCCATACATGTTGATTGGGACGCAGCGGATGCACGGACACGGTTGCTCCTCCTAGTTTGACACCCATGCGGACATGGGTGCATGGTCCCAAATGCAGACGGTGTGCATATGGGGTTGTGCAGATGCAAGAGTGTCAAATGGGTGTCCATGCATCCGCTGCATCCCAATCAACATGCATGGGACTGTCTGCATGGGGGATGAACAAGCCCTCACACAGGCATATGCTGTAGTAGTATGGCGCCCATGTGAATGAGGCCATAATAGAATATTCAGTGGCTGGCTGGCTGGCTGCCTTGTGTGTGAAATCTGACTGGAATCGTCATTTGTGTGGCTTACATCGATCTAATCTGCGATTACTGTGCTACAAAAGTCATTGCACTTAAGTGCCATCGTCCTGTCAATGTTCAGGATTGCTGAGCCCTCTCTGCATCACACAGCTGACACACACTGCCATATTAGGTATAGGCTGAGCCTTCTCTGCATCATCAGTGGGCGGAGCCAGCCGAGGAATGCCGCGAGCACAGCCGGCTACACTGCACTGCAAGGCGGAGGCGGCAGCTGGGAAACTCCGCGGCTTGGTTTGAGGCCTTCCTCGTGGAAATGGGAGACACCGGCGCCGAGAAGGTCAGCATTAAACCGTGGTTGGGTTATGGGGATGGGTATTGTGTTGTGTCAGGAGGGCCTGAGTATGATATGTTTTATCCTGTGCTGTTTCAATGGAGGTGTAGGACATGCTGAAGCCAGGAGGCCTGAATGAATGAAATGGGGTCACGTGTCCCCATATCTGGGGTAACACAGAGCTCCTTTCTGAAGGACGAAGCGTGACAACAGTCTGTGCCCAGACACAAAACCTATCTTGGATAGAGGTGGGGAGGTAGAACTGTTTTTATTGCAGTCTGTGTCCCCATTGGTTGAAATTCTCACTTCCTGTCCCAGTTACTGTAGGGCACAGGTGTCAAACTGGCGGCCCTCCAGTTGTTGCCAAACTACAAGTCCCATGAGACATTGCAAGATTGACAGTTACAAGAATGACTCCCAAAGACATGATGGGACTTGTAGTTTCGCAACAGCTGGAGGGCCACCAGTTTGACACCCTTGCTGTAGGGGGACAGCAGAACAGGAAGTGAAGGTACATCTCCCCATTGGACAATCAATGATCACACATATGCATTGCTGGGTAGCTGATGTCTATATGCTGAGAGCGAGCTCACTGCATTCTTCCAGCACAAAGGTGGTTCAAAGACTGGTAGTTGGTAGGTCTCTGATCATGTGTCACAGATCACATGATTGCTGATCCTTTCCTGACCCCTGGGCGTTGAGTTGTTTAAAGGGTGCCAGGGTGCGCTGTAAGGGATTACATTGTATGTAAACTCTGACAGTTTGTTTACACCTGTGTCACTTTGTGAAGAGTGATCCGCAGTAGTTTCCTTTTTACAGTGGTGCAGGCATGGCTGATGGGTGTTCTGGAAGTGATATCGCTGAATGCCCTTTTTTCAGCCACTTGGTATGTTTTGAATGTGGAAAACTGTGCCTGCCACAACCATCAAGCCGAGTGTTTGGCTCGCCATGTGGGGAAGTCCTATTCACTTGTATGGTCATGTTTTGGTGGTGATGTAATGGCAACTTTGGGAAATTTGTCAAATTCAGGTACCCGCTCCCCCTCCCTCCCCTCCCTCCCTCCCTCCCCAAAAGGTCCACAGTCTCTGGTCATCCCCTGCACTGTCCGCAGTCTCTGGTCATCCCCTGCACTGTGTCCGCAGTCTCTGGTCATCCCCTGCACTGTGTCCGCAGTCTCTGGTCATCCCCTGCACTGTGTCCGCAGTCTCTGGTCATCCCCTGCACTGTGTCCGCAGTCTCTGGTCATCCCCTGCACTGTGTCCGCAGTCTCTGGTCATCCCCTGCACTGTGTCCGCAGTCTCTGGTCATCCCCTGCACTGTGTCCGCAGTCTCTGGTCATCCCCTGCACTGTGTCCGCAGTCTCTGGTCATCCCCTGCACTGTGTCCGCAGTCTCTGGTCATCCCCTGCACTGTGTCCGCAGTCTCTGGTCATCCCCTGCACTGTGTCTGCAGTCAATTGGTTCAGAATATATTTTTTTTCTTGTTTTTCACCTCTAAAACCTAGGTGCGTCTTATGGTCAGGTGCGTCTTATGGAGCGAAAAATACGGTAGTTAAAATACCCCATTATTATCACTGTCCCAACCCTTTCGATCTGTGCAAGGAGCTGAGTCTCCACCTCCTCATTAACACTGGGAGGCCTATCACAAACTCCAATGATTACCTTTGTAGTACACACCCCCATGTGCAGTTCCACCCATAATGCTTCAGCCTCATCACACTCTCCATCAACTAGGTCCTCTTTCACACTCTCTCTGAGATCACTTCTCACATAGAGACTGAAACCACCACCTTCCCTTTTTATCCTGTCTCTCCGAAAGAGAACCTAGCCAGGAATATTAATGGCCCAGTCATGTGAAGAATGAAGCCAAGATTCAGCAATACCAATTAAATCATAGTTCTGTTCATGCACCAAAGCTTCCAACTTGTCTATTTTGCTTGGCGGATTTCTGGCATTGGTGAACAAACACTTTAATTCATTGATACCTTTTGCACACGTATTCTGCATATTTTTTATTTTTGTACAAATGGTACCAATTCCAATAGTTGTTTGTAACATGGGAACCTTCGTATCTGCCATAGCCCTCCCCCCCCCCCATCTTTCCCCATTCTATCCTTCCATCCACCAATAAGGACTGACCCCTGTCTGATCTGTCTGCCCCATTATAATTTAATTCCCCCCCCCCCCCCCCCGCTATCCTAGTTTATACAATTAACTTTTAATATTCAAAGCAACCTCCCCCATCCACTCATGTTTCAATGCTTTAGTTTGCTGATAATCACTTTAAAAAAATGTCCCCTCACATTTCTAGCCGTGGCCACCTTGGGTATGGGCCGATGATTCATATAGCATTCACTTCCTTGAATCCATCTTCCCTTAGCTTAGGCATGCAGGGAAGAGGGTGTGCCTAGCTGGGAAGCTCCTCCTCCCCTCCAACAGTTGAAAGAAATAAAAAAATGCCCATGCAGACTCATGGGATGTATGACATCATTAGGCCAGTAACCATGAAATGACTGGAGAAATGTAAAAGAAAAAAAAGGTTTAAAACCAGTAAATATAATATACCTTCCTATCTACTGTATTTATTAAGGCTAGCAGCACATGGATTAGAAATAGTTAATGGTGATTGAGAGAGTGAAGTTCCCTCTAAGCTTCCCTTCCTCTACTTCCTTATTTCTGGCCTAGGTGTGAATGAGGTCCCTGGTACTGCTTGCAGACTCCTGAAAAGTGATACGTAATATAACCCAAAAGTCTTCAGGTAACCGCAAGAGCACTGGGGGTGCATGTGTTGAATTGGCTGCACTCTAGCCAGGGAATCCCTTTGCTTACATATTATCATGGTATCGGCAATGTGTACAAGTAGAGCGCCGGGTGTGCACGCAAAAAAGGCAACATGGAGGAAGCGGCTAGAAACAAAGGAAGACGACCTTAAGGCTCATTCACACAGGCGGGTGAGGGAGCCGGTAAAAGCAGGTGGTTGACCCATTTTATGGCCCCACCCCCTGTCCCCAATCCTTGCCCATCTAAACAAGGAAATGCAGCCTCTCAGGTCTGTACACCTGCAGATATTGGACAGCATGTTGTATTCAGTGAACAGTGCTGCTGCCAACATGACCTATTCCAGTGAATTGGGATCTGCGAGTGCAGTGGGTTAGCATTTTCAGGTACCGTTGACGAAGAGTCAAAATATTGCCTTCTCACCTCCTGTCAAATACCCTCTGAAAAGCGATCCGCTGAAAATGTTGATCTGCCCATGTAAAGGAGCCCTCAGCGACAGGTTTGGATCGGTCTGCAGACAAAAAAAAAAGTTTTTCCAGTCTGAAGAAAGAAGCAGCAGGAAGAATGTTTTTGGTACCCAAATTAAAAAAAAAAAAAGAAAAAATATTTGTAATAGTGTTGCACCGAAATGAAAATTCTGGTGTTGAAACCAATACCGAAAATTCAGAATGCACGTGGCCGAAAACCGAAATGTCTGCGTATGTAGGGGTGGGGAGGCTCAATTTTTTTTGTATTTTTTTAACTTTAATGTGTATATTTATTTAATTTTTTACTTATGATTTTATTGCTATCACATAGGGGACCAATAGTCCCCATTCTGATAGTATATGAGTGACAGGTTCTCTTTGTAGGGGGAGGGGGTGGGGGGGCATTCTGTGCATGGAGGAGGGGGCAGGAGATGAGCAGTGTACGCAGCGAGGGAGCAGTGTACGCAGCGAGGGAGCAGGGTCTACAGGGAGGAAGCAGGGTCTACAGGGAGGGAGCAGGGTATATGTCACGATCATGGCGTCAGACCCCAGACCTTCTCACCAAACTCGTGACCGAAGGACTGGCCAATCAGAAATCGTGATGTGACGTGCGTAACAATGCCACACCCAGCTGCACCCTGCACAGCGATTTTCCAGCTAATGGACTATAATCTGTGCCTGCAGCCTGAATGCACTTGTAACTGGGTCAGGTTAATGACGCAATTAACCATTCACTGTCACCACGTCCTTTTTTGTACAGTGAAAGAGGGAACTCGGCTTCAGCTATGACACTATAATGGTCGATATAATCGCCTGTATTAAACGGTCATAATACAGGTCTATTATACAGAGGGTTAAACAAACAGTAGCGTCTCTTTAAAGGCAGGGATTCGTAAATTGCAATTAAAAGCTATAGAAACAGTTCAACACTTTCAGAAAGGAAGATTTATTACTAAAAGGTCAAACAGGGTGCAATAAAAATATTTACAGAAAAAATATGTAACTAAGATATATATATATATATATATATATACACACACACACAAAGAACCATAGCACAGCAAAGAGATATCAGAGAGAAAGGGAAGAGTTAAAGTACTTGCCCAAAGTCCTGGGTCAGCAGATCCAAGTTGCAGAGCAGAAGTGGGATTTGATCTCCATATGTTACGATGGAAAGATAGATGTCTTCAACTTACTTCTTTAGGACTGCTAGCCTGTTTTTTTAAAGTCCCCCAGCAGGGGGGTGGCTCTGAGTAACTGACCAATACTCTGTTTAGGGAGGGATTGGCAGGTGGAACCCAAAATTAGAACCAGCATCTTTCATAATTCATATTCTGGCCTATAACTTCCCACCTGCACAAGCGACAATCTCTCCATGGGTATTTTATTATGCAGATAAGTCTAAGGATCATGTAGATATGAATTATGAAATTGTACGTTACACGGTGTACGAGTTCTATGTTTTGGCTCCCCTGATGATCTGAGGTGGATGAGTAACCCATCAAAATGTTCGTCTGCGCATTGGCCATCTGGCGAGGTGCCCGGTTTTTATGTAAGTCTTCCATATTTCAAGATATGAAACATAGGTGAAAAACTGATTTTACCAGAAGTTATCTGATCCTGCCACCTACGCTGAGCTAGGTTATATGAGGTTACAATTCTTTCAATTCCTGGGAGAGCTGCCTTATCTCCTTACAAGGTGTGAAATGTTACAGCTTCTGGGACAGTGAGTCTCCAATTCTCTTAGGACAGCTGAGTTATCCTGGCCTAGGTGAGAGAGGCTACACTTCCACAGACTGCTAGGCACCAAACTAGGTGCCTTGGCCTGTCAGTGACCATAACCAGCCACATCTGTCACTGTGCCTCTCAGGAAGGGAGGGGGAAGGAATGAGGGGAGAAAATGGATACCCTTAGCAAGATGGAGTCTGAAACCAAAATGGTTGAACCGCGTCCATCTCGGATGCACGCGTTTGCGACAGTATACACTCGGGGTCCCTCACTGGCTGCCCTTACGTCAATGCCAGTTTTTAAAAGTAATTACATGCTTTTTTTTTTTTCCCTTCACTATAGCTTCAAGAATGAGCTGTCATTCTCCCCTCTGCTAAAGGAAGCTAAGGGGCGGGGTCACTGGGTAATGTCACTGGGTGACCCCGCCCCTTAGCGGTGAAGAGAATGACAGCTCCTTCTCGGAGCTATAGTGAAGGGAAAAAAGCTGGTAATTGCATTTAAAAACAATGTCGGTTTTTAAATGTAATTACTGGCTTTTTTTTTTTTCCTTCACTATAGCTCCAAGAATGAGCTGTCATTCTCTCCTCCACTAAGGGGTGGGGTCACCCAGTGACATTACCCAGTGACCCCGCCCCTTAGTTTCCTTTAGTGGAGGAGAGAATGACAGCTCATTCTTGGAGCTATAGCAAAGGAAAAAAAAAAGCCAGTAATTACATTTAAAAACCAACATTGTTTTTAAATGCAATTACCATCTTTTTTTTTCTTCACTATAGCTCCGAGGAGCTGTCATTCTCTCCACTGCTAAGGGAAACCAAGAGGCGGGGTCACCCAGTGACATTACACAGTGACCCCGTCCCTTGGTTTCTTTTAGCAGAGGGGAGAATGACAACTTATTCTTGAAGCTATAGTGAAGGGAAAAGAAAAAAATAAAAGCATGTAATTACATTTAAAAACCAGCAGTGACATGTAGCCGTAGCTCACTGTATACACTGCTCCTCTCCTGCCTTTCTCTCCACTGCCCCCCCCCCCCCCCCATATGCAGTACACATAGCCCCCTATTGGCAGCTGTATTGCCCTCATTGTAGAAATATCCTGTGATCACCTTCTCCTCCTAATCCCTTTTACTGGATCAGAAAGTAAGAGGAAATCTCCCAAAAGGTTACAGACTGCAATAAAAACCTGCCAGAGGTAGTATCCCCATGGGAAACCTCGTTTCAGTTTACGAATTTATCACAATACGAAAAGTCTCGCAGAACGAATTAGATTTGTAAACCGAGGTACGCCTGTACTTGGTTTCGCAAACCTGGAACAAGTATACAAATTGGGACAGTCAGAAGCCTTTATTGTCATGCTTGTGGCTGAAATGATAAATGCCATGGTTTTAGTACGACAGACAGACAACTACAGTAGCAAGAGCAGAGATCAGCAATGATTGCCTGTATGTTTAATGCATGACAGTTGCCATTACAGATTTTACCTGCAAGAAAAGCTACAGTGTTTTTACTAGAGCATTTATCACATCCACACACCTTTTACTATGTATTTCAGCAGTAAGCTCCATGGTTAAGAGAGGAACTCATCTATTTGGATGTGACAGAACTGCCGTTCTCAACTGCTCTTGAAAACTGGACTGATGCCTTGCTGACAGCTGCCTTCTGACAGCTGCCGTCTGACTTCACTTTCAGAGTCTGAGTGTTCTGAATGTATTTTATATGGCCAACGGTGTCTCAAGTTTGGTGATTTTTATGTGGAGGATGATTCTCCTGTTCACCTTTTTCAGCAATAATTTGAATTATTTAAATAAACCTGTCACTTACCTGGGCTACTCAAACTAATGAGGTTTTTTCTTTATGCAATTAGCCCCAGTGTGAAGATAATTAAAGCAGAGCATGCTCTTCCACATTACAGTATTCTGTCTATACATCATGTGAGGTTTAGTACCTTGGCCAGCACGATGTGTATTACTGCACATCACAATTTTGTTTTAATGCCGTAAAATACATAACATGTTTATTTTTTTTTCCTTTTGCAGATGAATTCAGAAAATCTAAGAGAGGATGGTAACAAGCACTTTAAATCTGGGGACTATGAAGCAGCAATATTGTGCTATACAAAAGCAATCAAAATATCTACCGACACGCAGGATAAAGCAGTAGTACACCGGAACCGAGCTGCCTGCTACCTGAAATTGGTGAGAAAATCGGGGGATTTTTATTACATCCTTTTATTCATATACTTTTTCTCCATACATTTTTTTTTTTTTTTTTTTTTTACCTGTTTATGCCAAACTTGCACATTTATGCGGTGACACAGAAGTGGGTCTTCTTCCAAGGTGTTACATATATGCGCTTAGAGTTTATGCTGGAAGCATACTCTATAAGGATTTATCATTTCTTTTTATTTGGGCACTGTATTCACCACCATCAACAGTAACAATGTCTGTTAATCAGCAGAGAAGAGGGGCAGGGTTGGTGTGACACTGCTGCAAAAAAGAGTGGCTCTCCACCTCCACACTCAATTGCAGTGCCTTTCAATCAGCAGAGAGGAGGGACAGGGCTGGTGTTACGCTCCTGCAGTAGGTGAAGCCCTTCACCTGCCTCCACAGAGACAATGCTGAGCAAGAGGAGGTCACTGTGGGCAGAGGGCCTGGCTAAAAACTGACTACAGGGGATATAGGTATGCTGTGTAGAGGTACTCAGTGATCCTAGGGATGCAAACTGACCACACTAGCTTTTATGTGCTTCCATGCTTGGTGTGGTCAGATCAAAACAGGGGCCGAAGGGAACTGGTAGGAACACCGGGTTTTAGCCGCAACATACAAAATATAAATGTTACAGGCTACATTTACTAAGAGTATTTAAGTAACCAAACATATATGTCCGTACCTAATTTTTGGGGTAACTTTAATTTGAACCTGTGCTTTGGCCTTGCAGATCAGTTGACTATTATTATTCACCTCCCCTTTGCTCCCCTCTGCACCACTTAGCCATCGAAGAGAAATACCCACCACCTCCAGTGTGGAGACAATGCTGCTGCCTAGTGATTTGCTGCTCAGGCACCCAGTTGCTCCCAGGGAGAGATCCCTTATCTCTGTGTAAACTCTAAGGGCTATGTTCACACTTGACCTATTTCTAACTCTTGCCAAACGCCCCTATAGCATTTGACAGGCGTTTGGGAAGTGTTTGTAAAGCTCCTCAAACGCTCCCCAAATGTCCTCTGTGCGTTTCTATGAAGGAGGTTTAATGGTATTAACGCTCAGCAACTGCCTTGCAAATGCCTGCCAGGCGTTTGAGGAGCATCACGATAGACTTGAATGGGAGGCTTCAACTCCTCCTGACTCCATATGAGGCGTCAGTTTTGCTGCGACACAGCTAACGCTTCAGTGTGAAAGCACTGCGTGCTGTCATGTGTTGATTTTTCATAGGCATTTGAGAAGCATTAAAAACACTTCCCAAACGCCTGTCTGACGCCTGCTGACAAAGCTAATGTAAGCGTAGCCGAAGTCATAACTTTGCACTTACTTGGGGCTTCCTGTTTTCCCTTTTGGTGGCTGAATAGAACAGTGAGAAAGCAAAAGGAAGGTGAGTATGTGTAGTTGGGAAAGTTGGCAGTTAAATATCAGCTTGTGGATTATGCCATACGTGGAAAGCACAAAAAATATATTTAAATTTTACTTCATCACAAACACACATACCTAGGTATTCCTGTCTCTTCATTTTGTATTCTGCCTCTTTAGTCTACACCCCAAGCCATTGGATCAAAACATCCTTTCAGGGGCTAATTGGTAAACCTTCCTGTTGAATTTGCAGTACTGATTGTCACCCATTAGATATGTGAATCCATCGTGAGTTACAATGTGATGTCCTAAAGTATGTTTTAGCAGGCTCCCTGTCTCAGCCGTTCCTTAGAGTAGCCACCTCCCTTGCTATAGTACCATTGTCAAAGCTGAACTATAGAAAGTCCACCTAAGGCTGACCATATGCTAATAGATTTTTTCAGCCAGCAGGCTCAACCAGTATAACAGATTCCTCCATGCGCACTATACATCACAGATGGACGATTCACCCTGTTGGACTACTTTATTGCAGCTGGAGCGACTGTCAGAATAACCGAACAGCGCGGTTTCATCTGTTTGAATGCAGCCACTGTTTGGCTGATAATTTTTTTAAGGTATTTAGTCGAAGGATGTCAGGCAGGAGGGGGATCACAGGGCCACCCACGGTGCAAATTGTCAGTTGATTTATCAGGAATCAGACAAAATTCACACAGTGAATGGGCAGTTTGAGATGAAAAAAAGTTATTTATTTAAAATGTTGTTATCTTTTTGCAGGAAAACTACACAAAAGCAGAAGAGGATGCATCAAAAGGTAAGTGGGTTTCTGCTCACTTAATCTGAATTATCGGTGAAAGCTTGTGATCAATATATGTGAGGTGTGAGTTGGAGCATACCTTTAAGTCTCTAGTATGGGATGGCCAGTGCCAGATTACCATTACAAGATCCCGTGAGCAACCAAACTTTGGTGGCCTGCTAGGAAGAATTAAACAGAACTTTTTACAGCCAAAAACTGCCTCTTTGTCTCTATTGTCTATGGGCACAGATTTACAGTTCCTACTCATAAATCTGGCCCTGGACATGGCCGCTAAATATGCTGTTTTTTTGTTTCCTTTCTTTCTATTCTTCTATTATTTTTATTGTGATAAATGTGTCCAGATTTTTCATTACCTGTCATAGGTGCTCCTGTGCTGTAGAAACAGATCACATAGAGAGATAACATTCTTTTATGACTGTTTTTTCTCAGCTATAGAGGTGGATGGCGGTGATGTGAAAAGCTCTGTTCAGGCGTAGTCAGGCTTTGGAGAAACTGGGACGAATAGACCAGGCGATACTTGATCTTCGCAGGTGTTTGACGTTGGAACCTAAAAATAAAGTGTTTCAGGAGGCTGTAAGAAATCTGGGAGTCCGGGCACAAGAAAAGGTATGTTCATTCATTCAGTGTATGTGAAATCTGTGTAAACAAGAACTTAAAGTACAGGTATGCAGCAAACCATTAACCAAGGTTAAAGCGGAGTTCCAACCGGTTTTGTGTTTATTAAAAGTCAGCAGCTACAAAAACATAGCTGCTGACTTTTAATAAACACACTTACCTGTCCCAGGGTCCAGCGATGTACTTGTCCGCGCAGTCCCTTCTCTCCTTTTGTCTTGGTTGCTGTGGGTTATGGCTTTACAAGATTAGCTCTTAAAGCAGTCCTAAACTCAAAATAGTGTAGATTTGCTGTCTTGTAAGAAACATCTAGAAATTTTAATTGTGATCTCAAGTAGTACACTGAAAAATGTTACCTTTTTGTTTTGCGTTCTTCCTGAAAATAGCAATGTACATCCTGATATACTGTATGACTGGGCCTAGACACTACGGGGTTTATTTACTAAAGCTGGAGAGTGCAAAATCAGACTCCCTTCTGCATAGAAACCAATCAGCTTCCAGGTTTCATTGCCAAAGCTTCATTGAACAAGCTGAGGTTAGAAGCTGATTGGTTTCTATGCAGAAGGGAGTCTGATTTTGGACTCTCCAGCTTTAGTAAAGAAACCCCTACATGTCTGCAGCGTCAGATCATCTATTGCACTGCAGCCTGTGATTCTTAGGCTGATCATACACGTGTAGATTTTCGGACGAGAATATCCGTTTCAAGAATAATCGTTTGATTTTCTAATCGTTTTTGGGGTCAAATCGATGTTTGTTTTCAACAGCCGTGAAGGAAAAATTTGAAGGGGAAGGAAGGAAAACTTTTCTTGATCAAATGAATTTTCAGGCAGTGTATGTGGTTATCGTTCACAAATTACATTAATTTTAAAATCGAATGTCAAAAGCAAAAGACATTTTGGAACGACATTCGTCCATTTATCTGTAATGACTTTTGGGACTGTTTATTAAAAAATGTATATTATCCCAAATTTGGGAATCCCAGCTGACTGTTAGGGGTTAACATTCTAGCGTAAATTTCAAGTGACCTTCCAAAAAGTTATCACACAATGAGTGGAAGAAACTGGTCTAAGAGACAATGAGATTCAAACACCACTATTTGGATGTCTGCAGGTGAGCATATACCTGGACCCAAAGTGACAGGTGAGCATATACCTGGACCCAAAGTGACAGGTGAGCATATACCTGGACCCAAAGTGACAATGGGGAGAGGAAATCCTCATTGTCTTATCTCTCACAAAACCTTGGGAAGTGTGTGATTACCAAACAAACTTCTTGAGATGTCACAATAGCTATTGAATACTAAGGTTTAACTTCAGTCCAGTCTGTTTACCCTAATTACCCAACAATGGATGAGGTCCTCCATTACATTTCTTTGAACTGTGCATTCAGCACAAGGTGAAAGCTGGGTCATTGAAAATATAAAAGTTTGGTATATACCAACGGAGACATTATCAAAAAGCATATTACCAACACCTTTTTATCAAGGGAAATCTATTCGATAAGGTTGGGTATTGCATCCCACTCAACTGAAATTTGAAGTGATGAAAAATAGAAGATGATTTATAAATTGGGTAATGTCTATATTTCCAAAAGAAATCAGCCGTTCCAATACATTTTATGTATCAGAAATATGAGAAACCAAATGTATCCACATCTTTCTATGGTCCTTATCCAAGAGTTAGTAGTGAAATCAAATATACTTGAATAGGACATATATTTGGTACATTAAGACATATTGTTTCTATCAAAGGATGAATCATCATTAAGACCACCAATTCATCTCTAATACCTGACTGTCCCCAGTGGATAAGTCAGGAACATCTCTAGGTACGCAAATTGTTCAACCGTCCAGTCAACAAGTCTGTTGGGCGGTCCATCGAACAAAGGACTGAATTACTCCACAACTCTTCTAAAATCTACAATCCATCACCTTCCAAGCTTCCAATCTGCTAAAACTTCTGCAACAGCTTCTAAGACTGCTATAACTTCTAAACTATCTCTTATCTACCCTGTTGCTACTATATACTGCACTATACCTCACTTGCCACCTGCGGCCATTTTGTTGAGAACTTCCAGCTGCCATTTTGAAGGAAAAGATTTCCACCAGAGACGCTGAGGCTCAGTTGCCCAAAAAAGACTTATTTTTCCAACTGCATCCCAATGGGGAGGCCTCAAAATCAAGATTCTGGGAGTGGTGAGACTGTGCTAGAATATTGTAACTTTCTTTGACATTTCAAATTTTCTAAAGACTGATAACATCTTGTTGTGTGGTTAGCAATGTATTAAGGTCCTCTGAATTATCATTCCCATAACTGTTTGAATATTGTATTGAGGTTATATATTACATACTAACTGATTTGTAGTGTTGTGTGGTGCAAATCAGAGATACTTTCTTATTTCTCTATGGCCATGAGAAATAATATCTGAAGCACTATAAAGTTGTGACTAACCTCTCAATTTCATATCTCCTTTAAATTGAAATCACATATTGTTGATAATATACAAATTAGCATATTATATTTTTGATTGTGTGTACAAGTATATTCATCACCAGTATTTTGCGTTTGTATTAATAATATATATATAAATTTTGTACATAAATAAATTTATTTATCAAAAAGGCAAATTTTGTGTATATGGTACGAAATCATATTAGTGAAAGAACTCAAGGTAAATTATTAAGTGGTGATCAAATTATTAAGGTGTCCAAATTATTGGTTCATTAAATATTTGCCGTATTTTAACGGCTGGAGGGACTGCAATATTTTGTTTAAGGGAGAGGACACCGCCCTACGTATTTAGAATAAATTATTACATAAACCACCACACATTGAACGTGCAAAGAATTTTTGTGCGACTTTTCTTACAAGTATTCCCGGCCGAAAATCTACACGTATATGGCCAGCTTTAGTCTCATAAGATTAGAAATAAGCTTTGGCGATGCCATTATGTCTTGGCCATTGCTCTATGGGCTTGGTGGAAAGGAAGCTGTACCCGAGAACCTGCAGTGCATGCCGCTGCCTATTTTTTCTTCATTCAGTTTGTGGATTTGTCCTTTTTGCACCTATTTAGTTATTACTTGAATATTCTCACATCAGTCATCAGATCACTTTTCATTGGGGGGGGAAGGGTTCAGCTCTGCCATGAGGAAGCAAAGCCTGCTCCCCTTTCAAGATGCCAGCCTCCTTACAAAGAGATATTCTAGAAGGCATGGTAAGTCAGTAATAGGGAAAAGATCAGCTGCAGGGGGTCTACCCGCAAAATTCTTTACCTTCCACCTCTGCTTGCCTTTTTTGGGCACACCTTGTGAAAAATACACATAAAATGGTAAAAAGAACAAACAAATATAGAAAAGATTGTAAGGTGATTTTTTTTTTTTTTTTTTTTTTGTAAAAAAGAAAAAAAAAAAAAAAATTTCTTTCCAAATCAGCCAATGTGATTGTCTGGATTTTTTTTCTCATTTTGTCTCTCATAGTTGAGGTCTACCTATGATGCCAATTACAGGCCTCTCTCATCTTCTTAAGTGGGAGAACTTGCACAATTGGTGGCTGACTAAATACTTTTTTGCCCCACTGTATATATATCAATTTTAATGTAATTTAACTGGCACATCACATTTCGTTCTAATATTGAAGTGATTTAAAGTGATATTAAAAGCTCTTGTTATTTGTTTTTTTAATAACAAACATGTTATACTTACCTGCTCTGTGAAATGGTTTTGCACATAGCAGCTCCAACCCTCCTCTTCTTGTGCCCCCACCAGCTCTCCTGGCCCCTCGCGCTTGCCGAGTGCCCCCAGAGCAAGCTACTTCTCAAGCGGCCTCTGTGTGTCCGTAACACACACACAGTGTGGTTCAACCCTGCACCCTCCGTTTCCTCCTCACTGGCTGTGATTGACAGCAACTGGAGAGACCCAAGAGAGCCACTGCTTTCATGCACATCGCTGGATCGAGATGGGGCTCAGGTAAGTATAAGGGGGGGGGGGGGAATGCTGCAAACAGGCTTTTTCACCTTAATGTATAGAATACATGAAGGTAAAAAACCTTCAGCCTTTACAACCACATTAACCATTCTTTGTTGGTTTAAGTAATACATGGCTTGGTGATTTTTATTCCTGCACTTCATATAACAGTATTTTTCCTCGGACAGGTGCAGCTCATGTCCTCCACAGATTCCCGAGTGGACCAAATGTTTCGCATCTTGCTTGACCCTGATGAGAAAGATGTTGAAAAGCAGCAGAAGGTACTTGCTAATTGGCACAGACGTGTGTTGCTGGGCTAAAGTCAAAGTTGCTAAATATCAGACTCCTCGCTGAGCTGCTGGATTTTACTTCATCAATTTATAATGCTCTGATCCTCTTGGGCCCAAAGCAATTTTTGAGACAAAATCCTTAAATCGGACAGGATCACAGGCATGAATAGCTCTCATATGACCCAAGCCTATAGCAGCTTTGGAACTTTCGACTTTTTTTTGTGTCCTTAGAACCTTACTGTTATTGCTCAGTACAGAAAGAATTGCACTAGAATAATGACATCTACAGGGTAACTTTTTTTTTTTTTTCCCCTAGTTCTGTCAGTCCAGTAGCTTCTTACTGCTTTTATAGGACACATTCAAAACTGTATTAACTACATTGTCTCCTATACCTTCCCACCCTTTCCGCAAGCCTGTTAGAATGTTTATGATGACACAACCAATGTAACAGTGGGATTATTGGAAGAGGGATGCCTGTTTGAGGAACAGAGCAAGCGAAATCTAGCATGGCTTCAAAATCATAGATTTTAAAGGAACTCTTGCTGCAGGAAATAGGGTGTCAGTGCTGACAAGTGAAGTAAGATCTTTTGCTCTTTTATGTACTTGTCAGATCTATATTTTTGGTATAATTGACTCAGGAGGTATTGGATCAGCATGACAGTCAACTAGCATTTTTATAGAAAATAAAATTGGCTATGGCACTTGACAGCACTGCATTTTGTAGAACGTTTTCTGATCTCCAATACTAAAATATTATACAATATCCACATGTTGGGTTACACTTTAAATTCATTTCAGTTTGCACTTTGGTTGGATAAAAATATATAAATGGTCTGACAGTTTAGACCAGGGGTGGGCAAACTTTTTGACTTGAGGGCCGCAATGGGTTCATATATTGGACCCGAGGGCCGGACCAAGAGTAGATGAATGATGTGTTTTTGTGTCATCCATCGTAAGTATCGTAATATTCCCCCATAGTAAGCATAGTAATTCATCCCCCATAGTAATTAATCCCCCCTATAGTAATTCATCCCCCCTATAGTAATTCTTTCCCCATATTAATTCATCCCCCATATTAATTCATCCCTCATATAGTATTTCATCCCCCACAGTACTATTCCCCCCCAAGTAGTAAGCCAAGTCCCCGCTGTGTCAATTCACTTACCTTTGCTCCGCGCGTTCCTCTCGCCGTGTTCCCGCGCCGTTCCGGTCTTCAGGGCGGACTGTGAGAGGAGCCTAGCTCCCCTCCCCTGACGTTCGTCACGCTGCCCGCCTACACACATCCTGACAGCCACATCCGCGGGCCGGTTTAAAAGGTCCGCTGGGCCGTATACGGCCCGCGGGCCGTAGTTTGCCCATTGCTGGTTTAGACAGACTGGAGTATTGTAGGAGCCATAAAGGTTGCCATAGACTTACAATGAGAAAAAAGAGATCTACTAAAAACACCAAGTTAAATTTGAATACTTCATCTACTTTTGTTTGCAGGCAGCACAGAATTTGGTGGTGTTGGCTCGAGAAGATGCTGGAGCAGAGAAGATTTTCCAGAGTGATGGGGTCCGTCTCCTCATAAGACTATTGGACACTAAGAAAGCAGACATGATGTTGGCTGCTCTGAGGACCTTGGTTGGTCTCTGCGCTGGTCATCAGCCTCGAGTAAGTTTACACTCCCATTGGGGTTATTTTTTCAGTTCTTTGATACTAATATAAGTTAAACAGCACTGTAAGTTTAAAAATTGCCATGGGTTGATGGGGATGAAGCTCTAGAGATAAAATTGAAAATCGCCATCTGTTATACATTTGTTCATGTATTTCTGTAGACAGTGGCTATCCTTACTGCAGTGGGCATGGAGAAGTTTTGTGCAGTGATGGCAGTGGATGATGAGTCCATCTCTCTTGCTGCATGCACTGTCCTGAATAACATGTTCGATACACTGAAAGAAGATATGAAAAAGGATATCCGAGCAAAGGAAGGAGCAATCATTCTAGGTAAACTCTGTGCAGTGCAACAATACAAATAAAGAGGTAATCTTATACAAATTTTACATCTGTGATTTTTGTCTTTGAAGATCCTTCTAAGGAGCTGAAGTCAATGATTCATTACTTACTTGAGATGCTAACTCAGTCAAGTGTGTCCTCACATGGCAGAGAGAATTCTCTTAATCTTCTCATAAAAGTTGTACCACGAAAGTCATTGCGTGATGCCAACAATGGGATGACCTTGTGGGTCATTGATCAAGGTAAGCGAATGACTGGCCTATAGAAGGTCCATTATTTAAGTGCTACTAAACCCAGTGTTACTAGACCCTGTATTCACTACATTTGGTCTCCCACAGTACACAGAACATGAAAATGCAATTGTTTCAGTAAATACAAACTGCTTAATACCTTTTGTCATCAGCAGTGTATAGCAGTCTTGTGACTTCTATAAGTGTCTGGCCAACACTGGTTAGAGCTTGTAGGAGGAGTTTTCATTCTCCTCTGACTGTCCTATGAAGCTGCATGATCTCTGACCCTCTGTTTAGACAGTGCTGATTTAATCTTGTGTCGATCACATGCACCCTCCCACAAAAAACGAAACCTTCTCTAGCAATACACACCACGCTGAGCATGTGCAGAGTGCCTCCTAGGTCTCTGTACTATCAGCAGATGGATTTGGGACAGTAGAAGAAGGGGAGGATCAGAGAAGACAGGATCAAACAGCCTTTTTAAACAATGCAGAGGATTAACCCTTTAGGTTCCACAGTGAGTATAACAAGCAAGAATGCTGCATACAGTAAGAATACTGCATATACAGACTGATTTGACTCTTGTGGATTTAGTAACAATTTTAAGTGCATCTCTTTCTTTTTTTCATGACACTCATAATTCTTATAGCTAACGCCATCGACAAATGCTTTCATCCTTTCCTTTGTTGCATTTATTCATTTCATAGTTATATGGTACCTGGATCATATGTGTTTACAATAGTGCAAGATTTAGCCTTTGTTGCAGCACACACATATTCTCAGTGGCAGCTTTTTGTAAATAGTTTATTACCTTTTATTATTACAGTTTTTCTTTTACTTTTTGGGAAGAATTCTTAAATAATATTTGATGATGATGATTAGTGCATTGACATTAAACACCATGAGGAATGGAGATCACCGAATAAACTTTTATGTTTTAGATATCTTTTAGTTCTCAAAATGTTCGTTTTTTCCTGAAGAAACACTTGTGAGATTTGTGGACCTTGTGCACATTCTCAGTTAACGTGATTGCCGAGTGTGATATCTCTAAAGAGAGACTGGATAGAGCCCATAGAAGAGGATACATCTGATCTATGAAATGTTTCTTTTTGAGAATAACGTTTGGTTACAGCTACCAGCCTAATGAGCTGGGCAATTTTCCAAAGTGCTTAAAGTGTTACTAAAGACAAAACGTTTTGTGTTTTTTTTTTTTTTTTATTTTTAAGTAGAGTGAGGTTAGGCTAGAAACTGTCAGTTTTGTTGTTTTTTTTTTTTTTTGCCATCTGTGTCCCTTTGGAAGATTTCCCTTCACTTCTTGCCCCATAGCCAAAACAGGAATGAGAGGAAATCCCTCCAAAGTGAGGGAATCCCAGTGTGTCACCAGAACTAGTGTCCCCAATCAAAGATTTCCCCTCTATTAAGCTGACCATAAACTGTGTGCACAATTATTAGGAAAGTGAGTATTTTGACCAAATCATCATTTTGATGCATATTGTCCAACTCCAAGCTGTATAAAGTTGAATGCTTATTAGATTTAAGCACATCAGGTGATGTGTATTTGTGTAATGAGGTAGGCTGTGGCCTAAAGAGATCACCACCCTATATCAGTGTGTGCATAATTATTAGGCAGCTTCTTTTCCTCAGGCAAAATGGGCCAAAAAAAAAGATTTAACTGACTCCGAAAAGTCAAAAATTGTAAAAAGTCTTTCAGAGGGAGGGATGCAGCACTCTTGCAATTGCAACCATAAGATATTGGGGCGTGATCACAGAACCATGAAACGTTTTGTTGCAAATGGTCAACAAGGTCCCAAGAAACCTGTTGAGAAAACGCAAATTAACTGCCAAAGATTTGAGAAGACTCAAACCTGAAGCTACCAGGAACCCATTATCCTCCAGTGCTGTCATATTCCAGAACTGCAGCCTACCTGAAGTTTCCAGAAGTTCAAGGCGTTTAGTGCTCAGAGACATGACTAAGTTAAGGAAGGCTGAAACCCGACCACCACTGAACAAGACATATAAGTTGAAACATCAATACTAGATCAAGAAATATCTGAAGACAGATTTTTCAAAGGTTTTATGGATTGATGAGATAAGAGTGACTCTTGATGGACCAGATGGATGGGCCCCGTGTCTCTGTCAGTAACAGGCACAGAGCTCCACTTTGATGCCAGCGAGGTGGAGGTGGGGTAATTGTATGGGTTGGAATTATTAAAGATGAGCTAGTTGGACCTTTTGGGTTGAAGATGGATTCAAAATCAACTCCCAAACTTACTGCCAGTTTTTTTAGAAGACATTTTCTTCAAGCAGTGGGTAAAGGAAAAAGTCTGCATCTTTCATGAACACCATTATATTTATGCAGGACAATGCTACATCACATGCGTCAAAGTATTCCACTGCTTGGCTAGCCAGTAAAGGCCTTACAGATGAAAGAAAAATGACATACCCCCCTTCCTCATCTTACCTAAACCCTGTTGAAAACCTGTGAGCCCTCCTTAAACAGGAGATATATGGTAAAGGAAAAAGTACACCTCTCTGAACAGTGTCTGGGAGGCTGTGGTTGCTGCTGCACAAAAAGTTGTTCTTCAACAGATCAAGAAACTAACAGACTCCATGAATAGAAGGCTTATGACTGTTATTGAAAAGAAGGGTGGCTATATTGGTCACTGTTTTTCTTTTTTTTTTTTTTTTTTTTTTTTGTCTTTTTTTGTTTTTTTTTTTTTTTTTTTTTTTTTTTCCAGAAAGGTTTATTTATAAATTTTGAGTTGCTTGTTTAATATTTTCACTTTAACAGATGAAAACAAACAAGTGAGCTGGAATAATTTTTAGTTTTTGATTTAGTTGCATAATAATTCTGCACACTAATAGTTGCCCAATACTTGTGCACACACAGATATTCTCCTAAGAAAGCCAAAGCCTCAGTTTTACTTAAATATTCAGGTTTGAGGTTTATTAACATTTTGGATTGACTGAAAGCACTGTAGTTGTTCAATCATGAAAGAAATCCTCAAAAATACAACTTGCCTAATAATTGTGCACACAGTGTAGATGGATCGAAATTTGGCCAGTTCAGCAGAAACCAGATGAATTTCGATCCATTTATGGACAGGCTGATTGTATTGAAATCGATCAGTACAACCAGCCTGGATTTTTTGGTACATTGTATTCTGCTGGTGGGGATGGCTGCCCATGCTCCCCACTGGCAGAACACAATAGCGTTGTGAAGGGGATTCCACCATTAACACTGACTGTGTTGATGGGGAAATCAAACAACTTTCTTTCTTTAACCCGTAGTTGAAGGAAAGAAAATTGTATAATGTCTGGCCTGCCTTGGTGCCATAGTGCCACACCCAAATGCCTATACCCTTCGCCTAATCCCTTTCCATTCTATCCAAAGCTAAAAAAAAAAAAGGTTTGCCTTTAGTTGCACTATAATGTAAACGTGTGCTTTTCCCATATGGGACATACTCATAACTATCTCTGCTCCCTGGCTGCTCCTTCTAGCTACTGGGTGTGAAGAAAATACTTGGACCTTCCAGGTGTGGAGGAACATGTGGCTCACTCTGTTACAATTACTATGCAACAACCCCGTCATATGGGGACAGTCCATAGCCCTGTGTAAGATGGTAAAGTAAACCTGTTGCTTTGCTGTGCTAGGGTAAAGCACAGATTCACTTTAGGTGAACATTGTCTACTTCATTGGTCATTATAAAACGGATAATGTTTTTGTCCAGATTTGTCTCTGAACGTGATTTGGTATGATAGAAAAGACCAAAACCCAGGGGATGGAGATGAGAGATGGTGCTGGCATTCAAGAAGCAGCGTTAGCAGGTGTAGATGAATCTTATAGCTGCCACAGTATAGGTGTGTGATTCATTTAGCCCACAAAGCCTCCTGAATTATGAGCAGCCTAATTATATGCAGCACTAAGACATCATAAAGGTCAGTGTGATGCTACAAAACATACTAATGATTTGTTAAAGTTTCCTGAAGGGTCTTTAAAAAAAAAAAAAAAAAAAAAGTGAGCTGTATGTGAACTAACACTGCAACGTACATAGGGCTGGCATAACTGGCAAAAAGAACTAGAATATCTGTGCTACATGAGATTGCCATGGATTGGATGCAACCTAGGGGACTAGTGCTGCTTTTCCTGAATTAGATTTGAAAGATTTACGGCTAAAACAATGCTTTATAATTTAAGTGTGCTAACTTTGATGTAGCAAGTTAATACCCCTTTGTTGCATTGCTGCTGGATATATTCCATCTACGTTTTCTTTTTTTTTTTTTTTTTTTTTTTTTTTTAGGTTTGAAGAAAATCCTTGAAATAGGAGGCTCCCTAGTGGAGATCCCAGGCAGCCTGCCAGTTACAGAGACCACCAGGATGAGCGCCTCTGTGCTTCTAAATAAGCTCTTTGATGATCTCAAGTGTGACGCAGAACGAGAGAATTTCTACAAGCTTTGTGAAGATTATGTTCGGTAAGAAGACTTTAAAGGGGACCTTTCATCTTTCAACAATGAAGATCTGTTTAGAAGCAGATCTAAAACTGGGTATAATGTGTTTTTTTTTCTCCTATTATTTATCTGTTGCACTATCCCTAAAGCAAGCAGTAACCCAGTCTTGTGACATACTAATTAGTTGTGGGTATAAAACTTGCATCTGTTTGTGAGTGTTTTACTAATTCAGTGGGTGTGGATGGTGTTTCCCTTTTCTGTAAATTAAAGCAGAATTCTAGTCAAAAACACAAATTTTAACATGTTGCAGGTTACCAATTGTTAAATATGGTGGCTGCATTATTTCTCTCTTTTTAGGTTTTTCCCCTTTTATTTTCATTTGTGATCTGGCAATTAACACAATCCTTTCCTAGGGTGTCTCCATTCTACTGGAGCAGAAACAGAGAGACCTCTGGACAGCAGCAATGGGGAGAAGGTGGTGTTGGGTGTACTAGCAAAATTGGCTTGAAATTAAAGCTGGACTCCAGCTAACACTGGACTGCAGTTAAAGTTTTTTGTTTTTGTTTTTTTCTTTTTAAGAAGGCTGTTGTCCTTGCCTTAGGACTCTTGGCACCAAAATCAGATACAAACAAATGATAACACAAAACAGTCCATAAAACCTTTATCCTCTGCTTTATGAAATCCTAACCCCAAAAGGTCCTTAAAGTTAGACTGTGGAGTAGTGTAATGTACACCATTAGGTGTCTGCATGCCTTTTTGATTTTTTTACAGGGCACTTCAACAGCCTCAAGCCTTGGGGTGTTCTATTTGCAACTACAGCCTGCATGGTTTCCCTGTATCCTTACCTTTCCCAGCGCCCATGCCTCCTGTTGGCTAGCAATATGATGGATGGTCTCACTGGGCATTGGGAAAGGGCCATGCACTTTGCTTTCTGATGCACCTGTTTGCAAAGACAAGTTTGGACTCAGAATTAAATCTACAGCTAGGAAACCTTTTAATATCCTATAGTAATACTAATTATGGGTAACTTTAACGTCCCTGACATTAACTGGATCTCTCAAACAGCGTTTACAAGTAGTAGCAGAAAGTAAAGCACTGAATGGGGTGTCTGTTAAAATGTTAGTAGGAAGCTCAGTTCACAGAGGTCATATTCTAGACCTAGTACTGACAGACGGGGATTGACTGATCTTGAGGCTGGAGAAAACATGGGTTCTAATAAGGTGTACTAGCTAGGACTTGAGTGGTTCAGTGGATATGCAGCTGGCTGGCTAAAGGATAGATACCAGAGTGTGGTTGTAAATGGGGTTCACTCGGATCAGAGACCAGTCACTAGTAGAGTGCCCCAAGACTATGTACTAGGTTCTGTACTATTTAATCTTTTTGTAAGTGATAGAACTAAAGGTTTGGTGGTAAGGTATTTTGTTTTACTGATGACACAAAGATGTGCAATATGGTTGCTATTCCTGGAGATTTCTGTAACATGAAACATGATTTGCCATTACTTGAAGATTAGTTAAAGCAGCTGAAACTGCAGTTCAGTGTTTCTGAATGCAAAATAATCTAGTTTTATCCAGGGAAAAATAATCTCTTGATGTTGTACTGCATTGAAGGTAGAGTGATGGACAGAACTACAGATGAAAAATATTTGGGGGTACTTAATGCTGATGATTGTAAAATGCGCAAACCGTGTGTGAATGCAGTGGGAAAAGCAAATCGAATTCTAGGTTCCATCAGTGGATGGAGGAAAGAGGTTCCGGTGCCCCTATATAGATCTTTAGTTAATCCCCATTTAGAATACTCTGTCCTGTTCTGGAGACCTCACTTAGAAAAAGATCATAAGATTAGAATGAGTTCAGAGACGGGCAACAAAAATGGTGAAAGGTCTGAGGAATAAAACATCTCATGAGAGACTTCAGGAACTTAACTACTTGCTCTCCAGAGGATTTACCCCCCTTCTTCACCAGGACATTTTTAGCGTTCTGGCACAGCGTTACTTTAACTGACAGTTGCGCGGTCATGCAATGCTGCACCCAAATTAAATTTACATCCTTTTTTTCCCACGAATAGAGCTTTATTTGATCGCCTGTGCGGTTTTTATTTTTTTGCGCTATAAAAATAAAAAGACTGACAATTTTGAGGAAAAAAACAAACAATATTTTTGACTTTTTGCTATTAAACATGCCCAGTAAAAAAATTTTAAAAATCAAATTTCGTCAGTTTAGGCCAAAATGTATTCTGCTACATGTCTTTGCTACAAAAAATCCCAATACTTGTAAATTAATTGGTTTATGTGAAAGTTATAGCGTTTACAAATGGCAGTGTATATGCTGGGCTTTTATTTTTAATTTTACTAGTAATGGCGGCGATCCACGACTTATTGCAGGACTGCGGCGGGCATTCTGACACGTGGGGAACGGACTTTGTGTAATATGACATCCCCAGTGACACCAATACAGTGATCGGTGCTAATAAAAAAGCACGAACACTGTACTAATGGCACTGGGCAGGAAGGGGTTAACATGTGGGGCAATCAAAGGGTTAGCTGTGTGTGTCTGTGCTTCGCTGTAAGCGCACTGCTTTGTATGGCTGTGCTATGCAAAGCCATGCATAGCAGTGTGCAGGAGCTGACAGGGGAGAGAACTGTACTGTTTACTTACAGTCCTCTCCCGCCTTCGGTAATGCTCCTCGATCACCGGGTGCCGGCGAGTAATCACCGGCCTGGACCCAGTGATTGACAGCCGAGGTCGCGAATAGCCGGAAATGCAAAATTGCATATACGGTATATATATGTGATTTTTGCGCATCCGTGACGCCCTGTAGCAGTATTACTGCTATAGGGCGGACGGGAAGCAGTTAAAAGAAGTGCAGGAAAAAAAAGAAAAACAAACATACACACTCACCTAGATGGCTACAGCATCGATCTGATGCTGCAGCTGTCTCTAAGTTCTAGACCCAGACCTGAGCAATCAGAAACCGCTGACCTTTCATTTCTCAGGTCTGCTTTGAGCACAGAGTGGTGACTGTCCGTTATCGTTCTGTGCTCTGCCCCTCCAGTACTCCCTGCAGTGCTGGGCTATGGAGGGGGCAGGTGAGACTGGCTCAGTGGTTCACTGAGAGGCTGAGCCATCTGTCAGTCAGGCATCTGGATGCATAGCCTGGACTGGCTCTGTGAGGTCAGCTGACAGCGGGGTTTAACCCGTTGTTTGTTGAATCTGGGTCACAGGAGTACAGAACTAAGTGCACTCTTGTGACACAGGAGAAGTATGACCAACAGAGCTTTGACCATACTTCTGCTTTTTAAAATGGAGGAAAGAAGGGAATTTTTAAATACATTAGGGGGTGAATAAGGTTCAGGAGGGCTGTATTTTCAGTATGGCTAAGATCAAAAACATGGGGATATGACTTCAGACTAGCAGGAAAGTTCAAACCTTATCATAGAAAGTATTGCTTTACTGTGAAAGAGTAGTTAATGCTTGGAATACAGAGAGATAATGCAGTCAACAGTAAGTGGATTTAAAGTGTGTGTGTGTGTTTGTTCAAATAAATTAAAGGTACACTTTGAAAACACATCAGATCTCAATGGCGAAAAAATAATGCTGGATATCTATACTGATATGGACGGGGTAATGTGTTAGGAATGTAAGGATGTCCCATCGTTTGATGGAAATGAAAATTATCAACCTACAGAGGACTGAATTCAAAGACATCCCGAAACTCAAAGTGAAAAAGATTCTACAGCAGGCTAGTCCATTTTGCTGAAATTTAATTGCAGCAACTCAAAATGGTACTCATTAGTTTGTATGGCCCCCATGTACTTGTATGCATGTCTGACAACATCAGGGCATGCTCCTAATGAGGCAAAGGATGGTGTCCTGGGGTATTTCCTCCCAGATCTGGACCATCACTGAGCTCCTGGACAGTCTGAGGTGCAACATGGTGGCGTCGGATAGACCAAAACATGATATCCCAGAGGTGTTCTATTGTAGTTAGGTCAGGGAAGCAAGGGGGCCATGCAATGGTATCAATTCCTTCATCCTCCAGGAACTGCCTGCATACTCTCGCCACATGAGGCTGGGCATTGTCGTGCACCAGGAGGAAACCAGGACCCAATGCACCGGCGTAGGATCTGACAATGGGTCCAAGGACTTCATCCCGATACCTAATGGCAGTCAGGGTACCATTGTCTAGCCTGTAGAGGTCTGTGCGTCCCTCCATGGATATGCCTCTCCAGACCATCACTGACCCACCACCAAAACAGTCTTGCTGAATGATGTTACAGCAGCATAACGTTCTCCACGGCTTCTCTAGACACTTTCACGTCTGTCACATGTGCTCAGGATGAACCTGCTTTCATCTGTGAAAAGCACAGGGCGCCAGTGGCGGACCTGCCAATTCTGGTGTTCAATGGCAAATGCCAATCGACCTCTATGGTTCTGGGCGTGAGCACAGGGCCCACTAGAGGATGTTGTGCCCTCAGGCCACTCTCATGAAGTTTGTTTCTGATTGTTTGGTCAGAGACATTAACACCAGTGGCCTGCTGGAAGTCATTCTGTAGGGATCTGGCAGTGCTCATCCTGTTCCTCCTTGCACAAAGGAGCAGATACCGGTCCTGCTGATGGGTTAAGGACCTTCTACGGCCCTGTCCAGCTCTCCTAGAGTACCTGCCTGTCTCCTGGAATCTCCTTCATGCTCGTGCTGGGAGACATGGCAAACCTTCAGGCACATCTTGATGTGCCATCCTGGAGGATTTTGACTGCCTGTGCAACCTCTGTAGGGTCCAGGTATCGCCTCATGCTACCAGTAGTGACTCTGACCCTAGCCAAATGCAAAACGAGTGAAAAACGTTACGGAAAAGAGTAGGGAAAAAATGTCAGTGGCCTCCACCTGTAAAATCATTCCTGTTTTGGGAGTCGTCTCATTGTTGCCCATCTAGTGCACCTGTTAATTTCATTAAAACCAAAGCAGCTGAAACTGATTTACAACCCCCTCTGCTACTTAAAGTGGAGCTCCACCCAAAAGGGGAAGTTCTGCTTTAAGTCTTTGTCCCCCTCTCCCCATTAAGGATTGGCACCTTTGGGGAAGGGGTACCCGAATTTGACAGGTACCTGCTCCCACTTCCGCTAAGGCGATCGGAAGCGGGGAATTCCCCCCCCCCCTTCCATAAATGAGTACACCCCTTTTGAAAAGTAAGATTTGAATCAATATCTCCATGAACTCAAGAACAATTTCCAAAATTTTGACAAAATTGAGTTTTATAGAACATTTGTTTAACTCATTACATGAAAGTAAAGATTAATAATATAACTTGGATTACAGAATCTTCAGTTTTACTCAAATTAGTTGATGCAAAAATGAATACACCCCACAACAAAAACTACTACATCTAGTATTTTTGTGTGACCTCTGTGATTTGTAATGAAAGCACTAAGTTTTCTAGGCATGGAATGAACAAGTTGGCGACATATTGCAACATCAATCTTTTTCCATTCTTTAAGAACGACCTCTTTTAGAGTATGGATGCTGGATGGAGTGTGATGCTCAACTTGTCTCTTCAGAATTCCCCTTAGGAGTTCGATTGGGTTCAGATCAGGAGACATACTTGGCCACTGAATCACTTTCACCCTGTTCTTCTTCAGAAATGCAACTGTGGCCTTAGATGTGTGATTTGGATCATGGGCCTTGGTAGCATCTTCTCTTTCAATACAGAGCAGTACATGTGTGAATTCATGATACCATCAATGAAATGCAGCTCCCCAACACCAGCAGCACTCGTGCAGCCCCACATAAGGACACTGCCACCACCATGTTTCACTTTAGGCACCATGCATTTTTCTTTGTACTCCTCCCCTTTACTACGCCATACAGTTTTGAAGCCATCAGTTCCAAAAACATTTCAGAGTACAGAATCCCAGTAGTCTTCTTCTTTTTCAGCATGAGCCATGGAAAATTCTAGGCGGGCTTTTTGAAAATTGGGCTTTAGGAGAGGCTCCCTTGCCCTTGCGCTTCCTTCATGGACGACACCCATGCATGCCTTTCCTCTGCAGTGTATGCTGTATTGTGTCATGGATAACAAGCACCCCAGTTTGGCTTTCTACTGCTTTAGCCACCCGAAGTGAACTTGCATGGCGGTTTTCTTCAACCCTTCTCATCAGAAGACGCTCCTGTCGAGGTGTTAACGTCCGGGGATGGCCTGGACATCTCTGTGAGATGGTTGCAGTTCCATCTTTGTTACATGTTTGTATCACTTTTGCTACAGTATTCTGACAAGTGAAGTTTTGTTGATCTTCTTGTAGCCTTCACCTTTCTTGTGTAAAGAAATGATTTTCTTTATCAGGCCTTTTGACATTTCTCTTCCATGTGGTGCCATTGCTGACAGCATGACATGGGAGGGGTTTTCTTTGTTAAGTAACGTCCTTTTATAATCTATTGTCTGCTGGACACCTGTTTAATGAATTAAACTCACATTGAGTTGAATTCTAGTTAATTAGAATGTTGTTGTCTAAAATTTAGCTTTGCTCCTAAGACTTTAATTGGGGTGTATTCATTTTTGCAACATGAATTTGTCAGGAATAATACTTTTTTGTGTGTGCAAATGAACAAATCTTGTTCGTAATCAATGGCCCACATTTGTGGGAGTATTTTGTAGCCTAGTGTCCCATAGAAAATGTTGACTCTGAAACGAAAGTAAGGGTTTTCCTGACAAATCTGTTGGGGTGTACTCATGTATGCTGAGAACTGTGTATGTGTGTGTGTATGTATGTATGTATGTATGTATGTGTGTATATATACACATACACAGATAGATGGATATCACACACATTGGCAATATTGCCAGTCATTGGATTCAGTTGTTCCAATCACCTCCATGGCCACAGGTGTATACAATCAAGCACCTAGGCATGCAGACTGCTGCTACAAACATTTTGTAAACGAATGGGTGGCTCTCAGGAGCTCAGTGGATTCAAGCGTGGTACTGTGATAGGTTGCCATCTCTGCAGGAAGTCCATCCGTGAATTGTCCTTTCTATTAAATATTCCGCGGTCATCTGTTAGCGGTATTATAATAAAGTGGAAGCAACTGGGAACAACAGCAACTCTGCCACGAAGTGGTAGGCCACGTAAAATGACAGAGCGGGGTCAGTGCATGCTGAAGCGCACAGTGCGCAGAAGTCACCAACTGTCTGCAGAGTCAGTACCTAAACACCTTCAAACTTCGTGTGGCCTTCAGATTAGCACAACAACAGTGTGTAGAGAGCTTCATGGAATGGGTTTCGATGGCCGAGCAGCTGCATCCAAGCCTTACATCTCCAACTGCAATGCAAAGCATCGGATGCAGTGGTGTAAAGCATGCCGCCACTGGACTCTAGAGCAATGGAGACGTGCTCTCTTGAGTGATGAATCACCTTCTCTGTCTGGCAATCTGACGGACGTATCTGGATTTGGCAGTTGTCAGAAGAACGTTACTTGCCTGACTGCATTGTGCCAAGTGTAAAGTCAGCGTACCAAGACATTTTGGCCAATTTCATGCTCCCAACTTTGTGGGAACAGTTTGGGGATGGCCCCTTCCTATTCCAACATGACTGCGCACCAGTACACAAAGCAAGGTCCATAAAGACATGGATGAGCGAGTTTGGGGTGGTGGAACTTGACTGGCCTGTACAGAGTCCTGACCTCAACCTGATAGAACACCTTTGGGATGAATTAGAGCGGAGACTGTGAGCCAGGCCTTCTCGTCCGACATCAGTGCCTGACCTCACAAATGTGCTTCTGGAAGAATGGTCAAACCTTCCTAGACACCCTTCCTAAACCTTGTGGACGGCCTTCCCAGAAGAGTTGAAGCTGTTATAGCTGTAAAGGGCGGGCCAACACAATATTGAACCCTACGGACTAAGACTGGGATGCCATTAAAGTTTATGTGCGTGTATATATATATGTATGTATAAACATACACACAGTATATATTATCATATCATTTTTTTTCCTTCTTGTTTGCAGCTTTGTTTACTTTCTTAATTTCTCATTTGCAGGAGTTGGTTTGAAGGTCACGGTATGGATGGGAAACTGCGTGCTATACAAACTGTCTCCTGCTTGTTGCAGGGCCCATCTGAGGCTGGGAATCGGACTCTTGAACTAACAGGCATAATGGAGAGTATCATAGCTCTGTGCGCTTCGGAGCGGGAGATTGATCAGCAGGTGGCGGTGGAGGCGTTGATCCATGCAGCTGGCAAAGCTAAGCGAGCCACCTTCATCACTGCTAATGGGGTGACCTTGCTCAAAGACATATACAAGAAAAAAATGAAAATGATGCCATCCGTATAAGAGCCTTGGTGGTATGCTGCTGTCCTATGTGTAATTGTATTACAGATACATTTAATAATCTCTTTCTTCTTATTTCTTCGATGTCTAGTCATCAAATCTCTGTCTATAATTGTGTAGGGTTTGTGTAAGCTGGGATCAGCAGGTGGTACAGACTTCAGCATGAAACAGTTTGCAGAAGGATCTACACTCAAGCTAGCTAAACAATGTCGCAAGTAAGTTCTTCAACGTGTCCAGTGGAATATGAATACCTTGACCTGAGATATGTATCATAAAGTTAAATGTTACATTGGGGTTTATTTACTAAAGCTGGAGAGTCCAAAATCAGACTCCCTTCTGCATAGAAACCAATCAGCTTCCAGGTTTCATTGCCAAAGCTTCATTGAACAAGCTGAGATTAGAAGCTGATTGGTTTCTATGCAGAAGGGAGTCTGATTTTGGACTCTCCAGCTTTAGTAAATAAACCCCATTATGTCACGTCAGAGACCATCTGCTTTTTGCTTTGTAGGTGGTTGTGCAATGAGAGTATTCAGGCAAGCACTCGTCGCTGGGCTGTGGAAGGCTTGGCCTATCTAACATTTGATGCTGATGTTAAAGAGGAATTTGTAGAAGATAAAGACGCGTTACAGGCAATGTTCAATTTAGCAAAGGTACAATATTTCAATAACGTTCAATAGGTACTTTGTAATTCTGGCAGTTGTAGTTCTACAGCAAGTACAAGGGGATAGTGTACATACAGTGGAACTGAAGGCCAATGGGTATAAAAGCAATGGGAGTGCCAGCGCTTATGAAATGCGCAGATATCGAAGTTCCAAATAGAGCTGTGTCACTTTAGTGATCCTGTGGCTGGGGGCAACAAACCAGTGGAACCATCTCTAAAGAGAGAACACACACACGCTCCCATGGCATTGCTCTTTCATTGGCTCAGCCAACAAGGTGTTGCATGCCAGCGAGGGAGAATCAATAGAACAAAATTTCAGCAGCATTTTGGCTAGTGAGGGAGCGATGCTGCGGGGGGCAGATGATCTGCTGCTGGAGAGTGGCAGAGTGGCAGCCAGTGTGTATGACTGTCTATATACTGTGAAGTACTGGACTTATCTCGAGAGAACAATGGAATTTTCTTGGTAAACAAACGTCAAAATGATCAATTTATCCCACAGTAGAAGGCTGGCCAGAGATGATTTGTTTTGTTTCGCTCAGCCAGAGACCTGATTGAAAAAAATGAATGGAAAGGTCCCCTCATTCTCTCCTAGCTTTCAGGAACAGGCGGCTGTCCACCGTGGCAGAGTCCCTTTCCCTGCCTTTTTGCTAATTCCCTTGTTCCTTTCTAGTTTGCTCTTTGGGTTCTATTTTTCATCTTCCCCCTCTCTCATGGGGGCCACCTTTTCCTCACTGCAAATCCCTGACCACCAGGCCCCTTTTATATGATAAATGATTGCCAGCTAGTATATCGGAATTGTTTATCTACCTTTATTGTATACGACCTTTTGGTTGACCACACTAGGACATGGCTGCAAGTTACCCTGTATCCCATGTTTGACTCTCTCTATTGATCAGGTCATCCCCTTGTTCTATATACCTTTTTTGAGTTGAATATTTACTATTGTTTCTGGATAATTTTAACAACCCCTATGTGGCTGTGTTTTGTTTTTCATTTGGCTGTAACACATTCCAGCTGGTACTGTATTTGCCTGTCTATGTATTGTGCCATGCTGTTTTTCTTCAATAAATTCTTTGGTAAAAGATAAAAACAAACACATTTTCCCATCCACACAAGCTAGGTGGATGGAGGAATCCTTCCCACTGTGCTATTGTATTCTGAAATGGGGATTCCTCTGCTGTCAGTATACACTGATCAGTTCTGTAATGGCCATGGATAGATCAAATGTGGCTAGTTCAGCAAGGACCAGTCAAATTTAGACCTATCTATGACCAGCGTAAGACTGGCAGTGTCAGTACAGTTCAAAGAGTGCCCCTGGACTTTTACCTGTCTTGCCAGTTAACTGTAACTGGTCTGTCTGATCAAAGATCCTCTCGTGCCCTAAAAGTGTTTCATTTAATACTTTAAATTTCAAGCCACCAGAGTGCAAGGTAGGTCAGGTGGTCCAATGGCTACTTGTATGGCCAGCATTAGACTAGCCATGAGCATGAAATGGCAGCTGAAATACAGTAGCTGACTATGGAAAGCTCTTTCAATAAACACACACAGTTGTTTTCGATGATTGTGCTTGTTTATGCAGTCAGCAGACACCTCTTGTGCCAGGGGAAACGATAGTGTTCATCTGTGAAAACCCATTACAGGCAAGTCATTCCCTCTTCCCAGCCAAGCCAAGCATTCCCATCTAGATTACTGCACACATATTAAAATGAAAGGTGGAACACATTAATAGGAAGCTAGATAACAGTACAGAGAGGACACAAAGAATACTCTTTGGTGGACTGCTTCATGCTACTGTTTATTGTATTTATATTTATGTTTCTTATATGATGAAAACATGCAGTCATATATATGTTTGATATGTCCCGCAATGTTTAAGAATGCTAGTTGCTGTTTGAATAGTAATAATAGTGACTTTGTTTATAAACAAGTTGCTACTTTTATTCTTTCTAGTCACAAGACAAGACTGTCCTCTTTGCAGTTGCATCCACCCTAGTAAACTGTACAAACAGCTATGATCGTGAAGAAATCGACCCACAGATGTTAGAACTGGCAAAGTATGCCAAGCAGCATGTTCCTGAAGAGCACCCAAAGGTGAGAGGTCATCTGGTCGTTATTGAAGATACTGCAATTGCATATTGTGACAGTGACTTTGCATTTTTTTTTTTTTTCTGTGCATTCAGTCATATTTATGGTTCTATGGTGTCATTGCCTGTAGGATAAGAAAGAATTTGTTGAGTCACGTGTGCAGAAGCTACTGACGGCAGGAGTGGTATCTGCTTTGGGATGCATGGTGAAAAATGAGAGTCCAGCACTAACCGATTCCTCAAGAGAACTGATATCAAGGTAATTCTACCCCTTTCTTTTACAAGGTTTTTAGTAAAAAATTTCTTTTTTAAATCCGATTTTATTTTCAAAGTTTTTTTGTCACTTTATAGCACAGAAACAATGGAACACGCAGGTAGGCAGGTACAAAAAAAAAAAAAAAAAGGAAAAAAAATTTTGCAGCAAGACATAGGAAATATCAGGAGTGATTAAGGGTATCAGATACATAGCTCATCAGCAGGGGTGGGAATTGTAAATGTCTAGCAAATAGCACCAGGATGATTACTATATAAAATTGCAAGTAGGGCACATCTACCAAGTTACTCAGCTAGACCTGATGGCATAAAACGTACACCTAGCATTACAAAGGAGATGTGTATGTGTTTTTCAAACATTATAATTTTATTCATGTCAGATATGCAGTTTAGTGGGTGGGGTGGCAGATAGCCATTCAGAGGCTATTTACTTCCGTGCAATGAAGAGAGACCTTATAATCGCTATAGACAAGTTGGGATCATGCACATTAGGCTCAACATACCCCAGAATACAAAGTTCAGGTGTCAGGGTGATACCATACAGATCATTCAGTGTGGAGATTACTCCCTGCCAGTATCGCGTAAGCTTGGGCACTTCCAGAGTAGATGTAGTAAAGAACTGTGTGGATGTGCATGTCTGGCACAGGGTTTTTTCCATACGGCCAATGTTGTATAGGAACTCTGATGTGCAGTAGACCAGGTGACAGATAAAGAGCTGGGTCACTCTGTGTCCCAGAGAGAGCGAGACCAGTTGACCATTTTACAGAACTTCTTCCCAGAGATCATCCGAGAGACCATCCAGATCTTCCTATCACCTATGCTTGCAAGAGGGCAGAAATTTAGAAATATTCCACGTGGAAAGATGAACAGACACATGGCAGCGTGATGTCAGCACATGGGCTACACCCAACACATTTAGTGCGCATGTACGTCCTCAGTACGGATCATTTTAAAGTGGTTGTAAACCTCTGATGTGGATAATGAACAAAGCATATCCCTCTATAGTGTGTACTTGTCACAGTTAAGAGCACTAGGTGTCATTTGTGTCTGCTGCCTCTTTCCTCTGTTATCTGCAGGAGTCACTTCAGACAAGTTTTTTTCTGACACTAAGGATTAAAAAGGTGACAAATATATAACATTGCACCAGGGGCGGACTGACAACTCATGGGGCCCCAGGGCAATAGGGGATCATGGGGCCTCTGTGTCCTTGCCCAAACTCAAAAAAGCCTATGAAAAAGGTACCAGGGGCATCTCATGGGGCCCCCTACTGACCCCGGACCCTCGGGCAGTGCCCGAGTTTCCAAATGGTCAGTCCGCCCCTGCATTGCACCTACCTTAGAGGCTCCAAATTTCTGCATCCCAAAAACACACACAAGTACAAAAAACATTTGCTGCTGGGATTTTATGGAGATCAAGACGCAAACTATATGTAGAAAATATAAAAATCAGTTCCTTTATTACAAACAAACAGTTAAAACAGAAATAATATTTGTAATATCTATATCTTGTTCTGGCACATTTTGAGTGTATGTAATCACATATTTCTTTATGCTAATGTATAAACAATTGTAACTCAACACCGAAGAATAGAAAATATCATAATCTTAACATGTCCCGTGAAACATGGCTCACTTAATCAGAAGCTTGAAATTAGAAGGTAATGGGGTGGGGGGGGAGGTTGATAAGTAACCAAAATAATGATTCATAAAGAAAACTCTATAAATCCCAACATCAAAAAGACCCAT